TCTGAGATGTAGATAAAGCAGGACTTGGGAAAATTTTATTAATCACATACCTTAAAAATAGAAAAAGATAAGTTTAATTATTTGAATACACATTTAAAAAAATTTCAAGTGAATAAATAAAAGCACAAGAGAAGAAATCTTTAAAATTAGTAGACAAATAGTTTTTCTGACTAGCCATTAACCAAAACTAATAGCTGGTTATTTGAAAGATGAATGAAACTGATACATCTATAACTCACCTAATGAAAAAGAAAGAGAACAGAAAAATCAAATAAATTTATAAAAATGATTAATATGTAATGGCAACAAAACTAGAAGAAATGAAAATTATCAGAACCTACTTTACATAGTTATATGCCAACAAAACCCACAATACAAAAGAAATACATTACATTTAGAAATATAAAATACCGTAACAGAATACTAAACACAGCTCTTCAACGACTCATTCTCAAAAACAGAAATTGAAGTAGTCATTAAGGATTTCAAAAGAATAAATCTTCTGACCCTGATGGATTTAGAAGCAAATTATATCAAACCTTTAAAGATAAATGTATGCATATACTACAAGAATTCTCAAAATTTGAAATACTTTACCAAATTCCTTTTATGAGAGAAATGTAATAATGATACTGAAGCAGGGAAAGATAAGGCAGAGAGAATTGTCAACTATTATGATTAATGAATATCTATTCAAAAATTTTAAATAAAGCTGTGGTTAAAAAATTTTTCCAAGAAATCATTCACTACTACCAATTTGGATTTATGCCAAGGATACAAGGATAGTCCGATATTAGGAAAACAATCAATATAACTAATAATGTCAAAGTAAACAAACAGCAAAATCCAAACTCCTATTTCAGTAGTGGCAGAAAAAGATTTTGACAAATTACACTTCTTTATGTTAAAAACAAAGTATAGGCCCAGAGGGACCTTTTAAAAATGTTATAAAGAATTACTGAAAGACAAAAGCAAGTAGTGTGTGTAATGAGAAAACATCAGAAGCTTTCCCCATAAATATTGGAGTAAGCAGGGATTCATCATGTCCCCTTTATCTTTTAATATGGCTCTACAAATATTAGCAATAGCAACAAGACAATAGAAAGAAATCAAATTAATCAAAATAAAGAGGAGACAAAACTGTACCTCTGTGCTGATGACATAATGGTTTACTTTGAAAAATCATAGGGAATTAGTGAATAAGTCAACTCAGCAAAGTTTCAGGCCACAAATGAACCTCTAACAATCAACAGCAAATCTGTATAACCATAACAAAATTTAGGAGTCAATAACAGAAAGGGAAATCCCACTACAAATGTAACTGGAGGACTGTCCAATGACATCAGGACTTAGGAGCAGGTACTGCATTCTTGGTAGATGCGATCCCTGTGTGGACTTTGGGCATTGGCAGATATTCTGTAACTGTACCATTCTGGAGTATTAATTTATGTGGTAAAGAGAAGTCTTTTTCATTGGCTATAAAATTGGAACTGAGGGGCATTCAAAAAGCATCAGCCAGACAGGCAGACTCTCTTGTCTCTGTCTCTTTCCTACCTGGCTGGAATCTGTGAAGGAAGACAAAATAGTTATAGTCTTCCAAGTGGTGGAGGAACTGTGGACTCACTCGCATCTGGGGCCAGCATGAAGCTGAAAGAACATGGCATTGCTGTTGCTTCTGTTACTTTTGGGAAGGCAGATAGATAGTTTGTTGGATAGATCATTGGACTTAGAGTGAAAAAGACTCAGGTTTAAATCCTAACTGTTTCTGGGCACATCACTTAATCCCTTAACCTCTGTTTTCTCATCCACAAAATGGGAATAATAATAGCACCTACCCCACAGATTGTTGTGAGGATCAAATGAGATGGTATTTGTAAAATGCCTTGCAAACTTTAAGGAGATATCTAAATGAAGGAGATATCTATAATGAAGATACTGTTAATGATGTCTTTTTTTTTTCCTGTTTTTAGGTGAATGAGATTGAAAATGACTATGATTTTGTGAGATTCCTAAGGTTGGGAGAGCCAGGCACCAAGAGTCCAAGAGCTGGACTTCGTGTTGAGAGTTGCTAGAATCCAGACAGTTTGGAACCAAGTACTTAATGACCTATCTGGGCTCATCCAGCAGTAACAAAACATCCCTCAGCTATACTACATCTGGAACTAAACTGTGTATGAATAGCATCAAGTTGGAGCCCACTCCATTCAAGGACCAAGGTGACATAGGAGATAATGTGCTTCCAGGATTTTTGGGAAATGTTCGTAATTTCTATTTTTGCTATATATTTGCAATCCCATTGTAAAAGCTAATTAATGTTATGTGGTTAAACTCCAGTGGCTCCCTATAGTCTCCAGAATCAAATACAAATCCTGTTTGGTGTTCAAAGCTCTTTATAACCTAGCCTCCTCTTACCTTTCCAATCTTCTTACATCTACCACATACTCTTTGATCTTCTATTTCATGAACCTCTTGGCTCCAGGCATTTTCTCTAGCTCTCCTCCATGCCTGGAATACTCTCCCTCTTCATATCTGCCTACTGGCTTCCCTTAAGTCCCAACTAAAATCCCATCTAATACAGGAAGCCTTTCCCAACCCTTCTTAATTCTAGTGGCTTCCCTCTCTTGGTTATTTCCTATTTATCCTGTATATAGTTTATTTGTATATGTTTGTTTGTTGTCTCTCCCATTAGAGTGTGAGCTCCTTGAGGGCAGTGACTGTCTTTTGCCTCTTTTGGTATACTCAGCACTTTGCATGCCAGATTTGACTAGCAGCTAACAATACAAGGAACATACCAGAATAGGGACATTGCCTTGTCCTACTCCTCAGGGTTATCTCTAGAACCCTAAAAAGAATATGTAGTTAGACTTGCTGTGGGAGAGTAAGTCCAGAGTCTTACTACAAAAATAAGTAAAAAATACTTAAAATCTTTGGAAGTCGGTCTGAAAAAGCACACCTAATACCTCAACAGATTTAATTTTCAAATGTTCTTTAAAGAAACAAAGAAGAAATTAAATAGCTAGAGGACCATCCAGTGGTCATGGTTAGGGTGTGGCAACAGAAGAAAAATTACAATACCAACAAAGCTAATTTCCAGATTGAGTGTTCTACCAATCAAATTAACAAATTTCATTTGTTAGAATTGCTAGAAAAATTAACAAAATTCATTTGGAGGAAGAAAAGGCCTATAAGTATAAAAGAGAAAAAATGGAAAAGGTAAGAATGAAGAAAGAATAGCACTTGCAGAGCTTAAACTATTTTATCAAGCAGTAATCATCAAAAAATTTTGATAACAGTTTAAAAATAGAAAATAGATAGGAAAGTCTGGACAAAGTAGAATAAGAAACCATTGAACTCAATAATCCAGGGTTCAATAAACCTGAAAACATACATTACTTAGGAAACAATTCCTTGTATGATAAGAACTGCTGGGAACGTTACCAAGCAATTTGGCAGAAATTAAAGTTTAGACCAGCATTTGATGTCCTGTTCCACAACAAATTCAAATTAGTTGTGTGATCTGAATATTAATGATAATACCAGAACAATTTTTGGAAGAGAAACATATATACGTTTCATAACTATGGGGATGAATTTAAGGGATAAAGACAATTACAAAAGACAAAATAGGTTATTCTAATTACATAAAATTGCATCTAAGATAAAAAGGAAAGTGATCAATAGGGAAAAATATTTGTTTCAAATATAATAGGAATTATGTGTGCAAAACTCAGTCCTCAATAGAGAAATTAGTCAAAGCATATGAAGAAACAATTCTCTAAAGAAGAACTGCAAACTATTCAACAACCACGTGAAAGAATGTCTCCTATCACTAATAGTTAAGAGACATGCATATCAAAATAACCCTTAGGTTTTATCTCATACCCAGAAAAATATCAAAGATAATAAAAGATAGGAATGGTCAATGTGGTTGGGGAAAGACAGGGAATGCAATGTTGGTGGAACTGTGAAGTAATACATCCATTGTGGTAACCAATTTGGAATTATGCAACTAATATGTCTATGTCCTTTAACCTAGAAATTCCACTGCTAGGCATCTACCAAAAGGAGGCCATCACCAAAAAATAAAGATTCCATATACAAATGTCTTAGCAGCATTTTTGTAGTTCACAAAGAATTGGAAACAAAGCAAATGCCCATTGATTGAGGAATGGCTAAATAGACGTTATGGAATATTGTTGTATTATACACTATTATGGAATGACAAAAATAATGACTACAAGAAACATGGAAAGACATGAATTGATGTAAAGTGAATTAAGCAGAGCCTGGAAAACAATATAAACAATGGTCATAACAATGGAGAGCTCAATAATCACAATGTAATTAAAACTGAATGTTGTGAAATTATTAAAAACAAGGTTGGCCACAAAGAAGAGGTAGGAGGGGATACTGTCCCCCTGTTCTTTTACAGAAATGTGGGTCCACAAGTGTGGAACTATTTTTAATGCACTGATTGGTGTTTTGATGAATTTTTTTCATCTTCCTCTTAGAAAAACTGTTATAAAGGATGGCTCTATGTGGGAGAAGAGATACATGGGGAAATGTAGGTAATGTAAAAACAAAATATATCAATAAGAATCTGTTTTAAAAATACATATATGTGTGCCATTTATTCAGCCAACAGAATATATGGTTGCTTATTAATTATATTAAATCATTTAAATGAAACAGATTCCTTCTAATAACTCTGCTATTCCTGTGGGCTTCTAACCCACAGGTTGGGAAACATTGCTGTAGAAGCTATTTTCCTTCACTATAACACTTCTCAAAATAAATGTGTCATGAAGAATAGAATTTTTTGGTATTAAGAACATTATAATAAAAGTATTACTTGTAACATATTTTGCTCTAGATAGCTGCCTTCCTTGCCTAGTTCCAAGTTTCTAGCTATGATTGTATTAAAAGGAAGAGAAAGAAGAGGAGTTACTGTCATTGTCATTGTTGTTGTTATAGCTGACACTTGTATAGCACTTTTAAGTTTTGTAAAGTGCCTTCCAAATATTATCTCATTTGATCTTTACAACAACCCTATGAGATAAATAATGCAGATGTTCTTATCTCCAAATTGAGAGATATGAAGACTGAGGCTCAAAAAGACTTGCCGACAGTCAACAAGTGCCAGACTGGGATTTGAAACCAGGCATATCCTAACTGTTGTCTCTATTGCTTCAAGCCGTGCGAAGGGCATCATACACAACACACATTCTTCCTTTCCTGAAGGTTACTTTCCGTTATGCCAAAGAGAAACAAAAACAAAGTGTGTGGAATTTATTCAAATGTATTTCTATATGAATTCCCTCATGTGGGTGAACAAGGTTTGTCTTGGGGATAGAAAAACAGGATTTGGGCAGTTATATGTTCAAATAGGCTCTTTGTTTCAGAGTGTGTTCTGAACCCCCCATCCTGAGTGCCTACAAAGCAGGTATGTTAGGCTGATGTTTTCTTATACCATAGAACAATTTGGTTTTCAGTGTAAGCTTTTGAAATGTTTTCTTTCTGAAATAGTGGTAGTAGTAAGAAGATACCTAAGCTGCCAAATAAGACAGAAATACTAGAAAGAAATATAGAAATGCGTACATACAAGGACATTATGATATTGGTAACTAACAAGACAAGAACCCCAAACAACAACAACAACAACAAAAAACAGAATTCAGTATGTTAAGTGCTTAAGATTGATTATTCTTTTAAAATGTTGTGTTTCAAATACTATAGAAATCATGATAAAATTTTAACCAAAATTATCTCTCTGCTTTCATTATGTAGCTTTTGTTAAATGTAAGACAAAGCACAGTTTTTTAAAATCATTTTTAATAATTTGTTTTAACAAACAGTGGTTTGGGTATATCTCAAAGTAAGAAGTCTTCTAAATTACAAAGGACTTTGTGTGCTTGAAATCCTAAGGGTAGAAAAAAGCAAATTTAATTATATTATATCACTTAATTTAACAAATATATAGGTACTAGCTATGCAAATAACTAGTTTACAAATCTGTATCTTTTTTTTTTAAGCAAAAAGGCCAAAAAAGGCAACTAGGTGGGGCAGTGGATTGAGTGTTTGAAATTGAGTCAAGAAGATACAAATTCAAATTCACTCTCAAGACACTTAACAGCTGTGGGATTTTAGGACAAGTCATTAACCTCTGCCTGACTCAGTTTCCTCATCTGTAAAATGGGGATAAGGATAACACCTAACTCCCAGATTTATTGAGAGGATAAGTGAGATGACTTTTGTGAAGCACTTTGCAAACCTTAAAGTGGTATATAAATGCTAGCTGTTATTATTACAAAATAACATCATTCAACTTAAATGTATTTTAATGTTGCAGTTTTGGGATTTTCATTAAAGGAAAAAAAGTATTCATGAGTCAAGAAATTTAAAACTGTTAAGTGGAATAGACTTGTAAATGGTAGCATGGGAACAGTATATTTTAGTAATCCTCCATATCTGTCTCCTTTCTTTTGTCTTATCAGTTAAAAAAGTCTGTATAAACTAATTGTTAACCTGTCCTCAAATATGTGAGTTGAAACATATCATAGTGGCCATATAACACAACCCCATATCTAATACTTAATAACATTTGTGGAAAAAATTTACACAACAGTGCTAATTGTGTCTTTTTGATCATCCTAGAATAAGTTCATTTCCTTTTCAACATGACAATCCTCCACACATTTGAAAGTAGTTATCATGTTCCCCCTGATAACAACATCATTCTGGTCACAGTCCTGGTATGCATTCCTTAACAATGGTCTTTTAAAATGTTACACCCAAACTGAATGACAATCTAAACATCTCAGAGCAGTGGAACTATTACCTCCCTTATTTTAGAGACTATAGTTGTATTTTAAAAAACAATCTGGTACTATTTCCATACCCTGAGATCTCATTAGCTTTTCTGTCAGCTGTGTCATACTGAATTTGCAGTCAACTGAAATTCCTAAATTTTTTCTCACATAGGTTTCTGTCTAGTTTCTCCATTCTGCACTTGTCCTATTGAATTTCTTAAATAAGATAAAGGAATTCATATTTATTTCTAATAAATTTATTGTTAAATTCATCATGTAATTCCAATTTATGGCAAAGAGGCTGGCTCATTGCAGTTCTTCCAAGAAGGGGAACCATGATGGCGTGCTGGGGAAAAACATTGTCTCTGGAGCCGGAAGCTCTTGGTTCAAATCCCTTCTCAGCCACTTACTGTCTATGTGACCTTAGGAAAGTTACTTTACACTTAACTTATTCTTTACTTATACTTTAACTTACTCTTTAGTTTCCTCACCTATAAAATGAAGAGACTGAACCAAAAGGATTCTTAGGTGCCTTTCACCTTTACAGCTATGATATTAGTATCCTCTGAAGATATTGCTCTTAACATATCACAATCCTGGAGAGAGGTCCCTTCGAACTATGTCTCTGTCTCAGCTTGCCTCTTCAGGATCATTGTATCAACTTGGAATTGGCTTGGAATTCTTACTAAGTTCCACACTGGAGCCTTCCTTCTGAAGGAAAACAAAGAAAAAGAAAAAAAGAAAACACTCCAGCAACCTCACACTCCTTGCTCCTTCCAAGTACCACATTTGCCTCTCCTTGGAACTTTGTGCTCTGAGAAGTACATTTCTGAACTTGCAATAGCCATTACTGAGCTGCTATGCTACAGATTGAGAAAGCTTTATTAAAGGAACTTTACTTTGCTAGTTCAGGAAATGGCAGAATAATATCATTTTATTCTTCAAGACCTTATTCTCTTTATACTTTCTCTTATATTGATTTTCTCTGCTTCCATGAGTTCAAATATCATCTACATGCTAATGAAGCCTAAATTTATAAATCTAGCCCTAATCTTTCTCTTAAACTACAGTCCTATGTTACCAATTGCCTGCAAGACATCTCTACCTGGCCCACAGGCATTTCAAACTTCACATGTTCAAAACAGAATTCATGATACTTCCTCTAAGACCTATCCTTCCCCAAAATTCCCTGTTTCTGTTGAAGGCATGACCATTCTGCCATTCACTTACCCCCATATCCAATCAGTTGTCAAATCTTGTCAATTCAAATTCCATAACGTCTCTTGCATCCTTTCTCCACTCATTACAACCTCTATTCTAGTTGAAACCCTTATCACCTCTCTCCTTGTCTATTGCTATAGTCTCTTATTTAGTCTCCCTACTTCTAATTTCTTCCTTCTTCAATCAATCCTTCATACTTCTGTCAAACTGATAAAATGATCTGGATAAAATTATCTGACCGTATCACTCCTCTGCTGAGAAATCTTTAGTGGCTCTCTATTACCTCTCAGAAAAAATACAGATTCATCAGATTGGCATTCAATTTGTCCTGGCTAGTGTAATACACACTGTTCCAGTTAAACTATTCATTCTACCTCTCTTAAAGTAGACAGTAAGATCTGGAGACAGGAAGAACTGAATTCAAATGTTGCCTCAGATACTTATTAGCTGTGTGATCCTGGGCAAGTGTATTTGGCTCAGTTTTCTCAACTGTAAAGTAGGGATAATAACAATACCTACCTCAAAGGGTTGTTGTGAGGATCAAATGAGATAATATTTACACAGTGCTTGCTACGTAATATGTGCTTTATAAATGTTTATTCCCTTCTTTTCCCTTATATTTACATGCCTCTATATTTGTTTTATACTAAAGACTATTTCATTTTTGTCACTGCTTCTCCAGTACTTTACACATTGTAGGCAATTACTATTTATTGCTTGTTAAATTGAATAATCATAAAAAATTGGTTACATTGGAGACTATCTTGACTAAGTTATGTCTATTAGAGAAAGACAGTCAGTGCTGTGAATACAAGGTCATCTTGGAATTAAAAAGCATTTATTAAGCATGTCTGTGTACCAAGTGCTATGGTAAGTGCTGGGGATACAACTACAAAACCACAAATGGTCTCTACCCTCAAAGAGGTCAGATTCTAAAAGGGGAAGACATTAGACATAAATGAGTCGTGACCAAGGATGGCTGTTTTGGCCTAGAAAATTATAGGGATAATGAATGGGGCTACATGGAAACAATACTTCTCGAAGCAATGTCATAGCTGATCTGATGATGGTTGTTCCAGAAGAGAGTTCAAGAAATGAAAGAGTTAAAACTATCAGGGTGTGGTCTCAGGTCAGGTTGGTGATACTGTTGAAAAGATGCACCGGGGGATTAGAAAATGCATTGAAGCATGGCTGGGGTCTGCCTGAAAAAGTGGACCAAGTGAAGAATACAAAAGGATGTTTTCTTAATGAAAAATTTTTACCCTGAGATGTGTTTTATTAAGATTCAAATGGGTCCTGCTAAATTCATTATTGTTATGACACTGGAAATTAGTAATGAAAATTAGATGTAAATTTTGTAAGGTATAAAAATCCCATTGGATTTTTAAAATCAAGATGTTAAACTGCTTTAACAACAAATGGAAATTTGCTACAGCGCCTGGCTCATTGGGTTGTAGAGAGGGGAGAAGAGATGTATTCAGAAATAAACATAATACAAAAGCAAAAGATATTGACAAAAAAATTTAAAGCCCAATAAACAGAAGAGCACATTATCCAGGATAAAAGTTTCAATCTTTGTACTATGTATATAGATTCTAAGGGCAGCTATAAAAAGACAATTGATAAAACAATTAAATACTACTGGGAAATTTAACAGAAACTAATTCTGAAGGATAAGAAACTAGAATTTCTAGAAAACAGTGACATTTCTCAGAAAAGAATCTGAAGGTATCAGAGAACTTCTTGCCTATGTACCTATAGAAATAAAATAGAAAGTACCAAAACATAGTAGTATGCTATAAAAAGAAGAAATATATTCCTTGAATCATTGTAGTATTTGAAAATGTGCTCAAAAACATTCAGTCAAATGTCTGTATTGAGTATGCCAACCTGCTGATTTCAACTTTTTTCAGAAATACAACCTTCAATGAATTTGTATCTTTGCAAATGATTTGACTAACCAAAGGAGAGTCCTTAAGGAATCATATAGTATGTAAGGAAATTTAAGTGTTCATTTGGTAGAAGCTAATGACTTCATGTAGGTCAATGCCTGCTAAAAGTCAGGGTATGAGGGTTCCTAACTCAACCACTACTTTATTTTTATACTATTTTGCTGTGTGAACTTAGGAAAACCAATCAATGAATTTACCAGTCAATATGTATTAAGTGATTACTGTGTGCCAGAAAGTGTGTTAAGTAGTTATAGATATAAAAACAAACCAAAAAAGACTCCATTTTCTCAAGAATGTTGCCTTCTATTGAGGGAAACAACATATACATACATTAGTATGAACAAAATGGATACAAAATAAATACAAAGCAGATGGTAGCAGTTGGGGAGATCAATCAGTGAGTCAGTCAACTAGCATTTATTAGCACCTATTACGTGTCAGGCACTGTGCTAAGCTCTGGGGATACAAAGAAAGGCAAAAAACAGTGCCTGCTCTCAAGGAACTCAATCTAATAAGGGAGATATTATTACTACTAAACTTTGCAAGACTGGTGATCTATTTTAAAAGAACTACATGGATAATAGCTTCATAAATTTTTATGGTATTATTGTCTGGTGGTTAAGCTGAATAGAATACTTGTGGATTGTCCATTAGAATGTAAGCATCTTGAAAGACTATTTTTTCTGGCCTTCAGTGAAGGCTTATAAGTACTAGATTTACTTCAGTGGAGGTCAGGAAGATGCAGTGATAAAAACCAAGGACAGTTATTATACTAACTTTAACCTTTGGAGATATCAGACAGAAATAATGTAGAGGATACTATCTTAGGCTATTCCATTTTCAAGAACTTTTCCAAATTATCCTATATATGTATATTGCATGACATGTTGCAGAGGTAGATGTTGGCTTGATAACTTGGAAAAAGGCATAGATGACATACTTATAAAATCTGCGAAAGACAAAAAGCTGGAGGGGTAATAGTTGACACACTAGACAAAAGGACTCAGAAATATGTAGACAGGAAACAACACTGGATTCAAATATGTGTGAAGGATATGTGATTTCATCAATGTAGGATACTCCTGGTGACAGGACGTCTTCCACCAACACTTGTTTAAGGTACATAGAGGTTAAGGGGATTGCCCAAGGTCACAGAGAATGTCACAAGCTGAATATAAAGCCAGGTCTTCCTAATTCCACACTTGGAACTTATTTACTAGGCCACACTTCCTCTATGAGTGAATCAATAAGTTGAAATTTAATGAATATAAATGTAAAACCTTATACATGGATTCAAAAACTCAGCTTCAAAAGAGCAAGATAGGAAAAAGAGCAAGATAGCCATTTTTCTTTAAAAAAAAAGAGCTAGTGGTTTCAGCAGACTGCAAATTCAGTATGAATTAACAGTGAGATTAAACACCTTTCTAATCTTTAGTCTCTTACTCACTTCTCCTCCAATGCTGCCTAGCTGTCTATAAACATGCCCAGATTCCCCCATAATTAAAAAAAAAAACCCAAACTTTCAACTGACTGTGATATCTTTTCAAGCCATCATATTAAATCTCTCCTCACTACCAAAGTCCTAGAAAGGGCTTTCAATTCTCTTTGACTCCTCTTACTCAAATCCCATTCACTTCTCAGCCCCTTAAAATGTGGCTTCCAATCCCATTTACCTGAAACTGCTCTCTCCAAAGTCACCAATGATCTCAACATCAACTGCTAAACCAATGGCCTTTTCTTAGTCTTCATGCTGCTTGATATCTCTAACACATTTAGTACTGTTTATCCCCTCCTTCTGGATACCTTCTGCTTTCTTGATTTTCATGACATTATTATCTTCAGGTTTTTCTTCCAAATGACTATTTCTTCTATGTCTAGTTTGCTGGATTTGCCATCTATGTTCTGCCCCCTACCTGAGGGGGTACCCCAAGGTTCTATTCGGGGCCTTATTTCTTTCTCTTATCTTATCAATATTCCCTCTTATTGATCTCATTATATCCCATAGGTTCAATGATCATCTCTATGAAGATTTCTTTCACATTTACATTTCCAGCCCTTGTTTCTCACCTGAGCTGCATTCTTACATTGATTTGCAACACATCGCTATCTAGATGTCCCATAGACATCAAACATTCCCAAAACAGAACTCATCTCTTCCCCTTTTCTAAAATTCACCAGTGATCTTAATTTCCTTGTTTCTTCCTAGGGCATGAAAATCTTGCCAATCACCCAGTTTTACAACCTAAGAATCATCCTCAACTTTTAACCTCCCTACTCTTCTTTCCACAATCTACTTAGTTGCCAAATCCTATTGAGTTTGATTCCAAATCTTTTAGGTCTGTCCCCTTTTTCCTACTCTCAGCAACCACCTATTTCAGGCACTATTCACAGTTCTTTTCTGAACTATAGCAATAGCCTCTTTTTCTTTATGGTAACTCTTAGGGTATGAGGGTGCATAGCTATAATTTTTGTTCTTTTTCTTTTCCCTTAATTCTGTCTATCCAAGGAGGATTTTCCAGTAAATGTTCTGAAAACATTCAAATGGTGAAGAGCACTGTGCTGAGTGCTAAGAATACAAAACCAAAAATGAAATAGCCCTCATCCTCGAGGACCTCGAACTTAGCATGTCAAAAACTGAATTCATTATATTTTCCTCTAAACCTTTTTTCCCATGTTGAGGGCATCACCATCCTCCCAGTCTCCCAGGCTTTCAATTTAGGTGTCATCCTCAACTCCTCATTATCACTTATCTCCCATATCCAATCTGTTGGTAAGGCTTGTTGATTTACCCATTACAATATATCTTGAATAGAACCCCTTCTCTTCTCTGATAAAGCTACCATATGATATAAACTATCATCATGCTTGGATTGCTGAAATAACCTGCTGATTGGTCAGTTTGCCTCAGTCTCTTCCCACTCCAATCCATCCTCCACTCAGCCACCAAAGTGATTTTCCTGACGTGCAGGTCCAACCGTGTCATCCCCATATTCAATAAACTCCAGCGACTTACTATCCCTTCCAGAACCAAATACAAAATACTCTGGCATTCAAAGTGCTTCATAACTTAGACCCCTTCCCCCTACCTTTACAGTCTTCTTAATCTTTCATACTTGCCATTCATTCCTTGGTCCTTGTCCTTCCATGAACAAAGCACTTCATCTCTCAGCTCCAGGCATTTTCTCTGGCTATCCTCCATGCCTGGATTACCCTCCTTTCTTTTTTTCCCCTTCTGGCTTCTCTGGATGCCTTTAAGTCCCAGTTAAAATCTCATCTTTTACAGGAAGCCTTTCTCAATCCCTCCTAATTCTCATGCCTTCCTTCTCTTTACAGTTTCCTATTTATCCTGCATATAGCTGGTTTGTACATATTTGTTTGTTTATTGTATCCCCCCGTTATATTATGAGCTACTTGAGGTCAGGGCTTGTTTTGCCCCTTTTTGTATCCCCAGCACTTAGCAGTGTCTGGCACATGGCTGGTGCTTAATAAATGTTTATTGATTGCCTGGTTGACAGAATTAGAAGCAATGGGCAGAAGCTACAAAAGAGGTAAATTTAGGCTTAATGTACAGGAAAAACTGCCTAACACTCATCCAAAAGTGGAATATGCTGCTTCTGGGGAGGTATTGAGTTTCCCTTCACCGTAGGTGAGGCTGAATGATCAATTGTCAGTTGCTGATACCACACGTATACAAGATATATACAAAAAGGTAAAAAAAAAATTTCAGGTAGAGGAAAAAACTAACAATTGGGGGAATCAGAAGATGAGTTTTGAATGGTCCTATGGTTTCCAAGAGACAGAGGTGAGGAAGAAGAGCATTCTGGGGTATTGAAGGAACCCCCCGTACTGAGGCACTGAGATGGAAATTGGAATGTCCTTTCAATATAGAAGTGGAAAAACAGGCTTATTTTGCTGGGACACACTATCTATGTATGCAACCAACCTGGGGATAGATACACTGGGGCCAGCTTGCAAATGCTATAACTGCCAAAGTAACAAGTTTAAAAATTATCCTAGAGGTTGTAAGGAGCCATTAAAGTTTCTGGAGGGTTGAGTGACCACTTGTTAGGTATACTGTCAAGAGAATTCTATTAGGTATGGGTTGGATGGCTTCTCTATTCCCTTCAGACTCTAAGGTTCTGTGACAAGAAAAGAACCCAACAAAACAACACTCCTGAGCTATTAGAACTATCCAAAAGTAGAATAAGTTATGTGGTAAGGTAATACATTTACCATCACTGGAAGTCATGATATGAAAGCTGGAAGCAATGTTATAGAGAGTACAGGTTGAATGAGGTGGTCTTTGAAGTCACTTCTGATTCTGTGACTTTATAATTCTATAAAACTTAGCACTTGGCAACTTGAATCCATTTCCTCTCAGTTCTCTTTGGAATTGGAGAACAATAATTCAGCGTATTCCACATAGCATAGAGAATTAATTACTCTTTTGTCTTATCTTATACTGGAAGCATATGCAGAAATTACATCAAATGGTTTGTTCAATTTTCTGTGCTCTGCAAAACTATGTAATTGATATATTATTAAAGATTATTTTACATTCAGAAAAAATAAGCCTTTATCTTAGGAAAAAAGGAAAATGGGCAATTGGTATTTGGTAGAGTTAATGGGAGAAAAATAATTATTTAAATCTTTTATAAGCCCTCTCCATCTCCTTAAAATATTTCTATCTAAAAACATATTTGAAAAAGTACTTACACATTCACTCATTTTAGCAGCTTTAGAGTCTGAATTGTTCTTCCTATTTAGGGAAACATGGAAGGCACATTATTAATTAGATTATAACTTCTTGATTCTGAAGTTTTAAACTAGCGTACTGAAGCACACATCATTTCTTGGTTAATAGAGGTTAATTGTTATGTCCAAGTTATCTCAGTTAAACAGAAAAAAAAATCAGTCTTGATTTTAATTTAATGTCATTTCTTTAGATGGTGGCATACAATGAAACATCAATATGTGTGGCAATTTTATATACAAACACTGAACACCTAAGCCAGTATTATTGATACCCAAGTGCTTTATATTATGAAACAATGGATACTTTAAAAAAAGTATGTGTGTGTATTCATTAATTTAATTTTTCACCATTTCACAAAAATGAAATTTATATAAAAATGCTTGTTTCTGGATCCAGAGGCCAAATTTCATGTCAAAATAGTTGGAATATATGTTCAATATAATATCATTTAAAACTTAGTTAAATACAATATAGTAATTGGGATAAAACACTCTGCACTGAAGATTTAAAAAAACAAAGTTATCAAAATATACACATATTGTAATAGAATATCAATTCCTTGCAGATGGGTATAGTTTTTTTGTTTTGTCTTTATATCCCCAGTCCATGTCAGTATCTTATAAATGATAGATAATTAGTAAATGCTTGTTGAATGATTTAATGTCAAACAACAAGCTGTCTGTTGGCTGTGTCTATAGGTCTCACTGACTGACCACATAAAGTTATGAGGAGGTAGAACTTAGGCAAGATTGCACCAACATTGTAAACATTAAGCATCTAAGTTAGAAACTGTTAGTCTAATTTTTATGCTAACTCCCAAGGGAAGTAACCTTATATAAATAACCACATTTCATACTTTTATACCTAATACTCGGAAAATGATTTGTTAGGAAACAGAAAGCCCCAAACTTAAAAGACTCATACTTACTGAAAGGAGTTTTCTTCTACAAAAGAATAAGTGTACATCATTAATGCAATTGAAAATACAGAATGATACAGATTACTAGGAAACAAAATGTGACTTCTTGTAAAGTCTCCTTTGAAATACAGTGTACCTTCTTATCCTCTTCAACTCCTGGCATTTTATTTTCAAGATGGAATATTAAGAAAATGGATATCCTTGAAGAAACACTTTAACAGTTGGAAAATGAGCTCTTGCTCACTGCAAACAATGAATGATTTCATAAGTATGTCAGCTTTCCAATGAACTTAGTTAGTTATTAATCCTGGTAGGCTTTATGTGAATCACTGTCCCATCTTTCTTATTTCCCTTAGGAATTTCAAGACTGGTGTCCTCTGACTCAGGGCTAAATACTACAAAAGACAAATGTACCATTGAAACACCAATTTTTTGATATGTACTTTCACTGATATCCAGCAGGTGGAGTCAGATCACTTTCATTAGCCTATATTGGTACACTTTTGAATACTTTATAAATCAGTTTAATTATGGTGTGTCTCCTTAATAACATTCACTTGGAATAATATTCCTTTGCACACCTCAGTATGTTATAATCTTGATCAGAGTTCATTTAAATTTAGGTTTATTTTCTGTTTAAAACATTCTTAAAGCCTTAATTCCCAGAAAGCAAAAGTTCATTGTACAATAGCAATTACCCTGCAAACCTCCAAAATATCCATGACACCTCTATTCAGAAAGAAAGAAATTCAGTAGTGTATCTCGCAAATATCAATTCCAAAAGACTTCCTGAAACTCTGCAAAACTAATTTTCCTCATAAACAATCTTAAAGGATGCTATATAATTAGGAGGTAATGGTGGTACCAGTCATGTTGTACCAGGTTTCTAGATGCATTTAGTTTAAATTTCATACCATCTTCCAGAGTAAGTAAGCTCACATAGGTAAGCACATTTTGTATTTTATGCACTCCAATTCCCTGAAAATTATTTGCTACCTAACAGGTATTTGAAGCTCCATGGCTCCAAAGTTAAAGAAAAATTGCCACAGTTTCAGAGTTACTTTAGTACAACAAAGCAACTTTTTAGTGTCTTTTGATGTTGACTAATTTTCTTCTACTATTGTGCCAATTGCTTTTATGTAAACTTTTTTTCCCAATTGCTTTTAAAAATACAATACTAAATACCTCCTAATAAGGTATTTTGACCAGAAATGGATTTTTATGTCCACAAAACAATTCTTATCCTCAAAATAACATTCTCTTAAATATATAACATCAAGTCACCCAAACACAAATCTATATCTTCAAACTTATCTCTAGCTAATGTTTCTCTCATCATTATTTGCCTAGTTGCTCCATGGTATACCCATGTTGCCCCAATGACATCTTCTATTAAAGAAGATAAATAGGCAGTACACAGATGCTATAATGATTTTGTAGAAGAAACAGCATCTCATTTAGATGTGTAATTATAGGAAACTTTTACTTACTTGCAAAGTAACCTTTCTTCTGAGCATAGCAAGCTCCAAGGCCACAAAATAAAATCAATAAGGCCACAGTTATTACAGCTCCTAAGATACCAGTTATATTTAGGTCATCTAGAATGAAAAATAAAATACAGAGAAATTCAAAATAAAATAGATGATATATACCAAGTCATGAATGTGAAACTATTTCTGCTCAAATTTTTCATTTCTATAGATTGGCTCCAAAATTATTTGAGAAATGTTATAGAAAAAATGGTTTAATGGGTTTTAACCAATAAAAATTGTGATGAGGATTAAAATCTAGGATATTTTCCATTTGACTTGGCTGTAATACCTATTAGCTTAAGATAATTCACCTGCATTTCAATTGGAAAAATTTCTTAAATCCCCACTTTCTAAAATCATGATGTTTTCTTTTTCTTTTTTGGCGAGGCAGTTGGGGTTAAGTGACTTGCCTAGGGTCACACAGCTAGTAAGTGTCAAGTGTCTGGTCTGAGACCAGATTTGAACTTGGGTCCTCCTGACTCTAGAGCCAGTGCTCTATCTACTGCGCCACCTAGCTGTCCCCATGACATGTTTTCTAATATTTGTAGTGAAAACTTATGTCAATATTAAATAAATGATTTGGAGGAAATACTTATAGAATTTCCTACTGCTTTTTACATACATTTGAAATGTATTTGTTGATATAAATTGTTCAATGGAATATAGAAATATTAAATAGGCCATATTTAGTTTTAAATATATTACCTACCCCTTCTTAATAATCTTATCTATCTGTAAGGTAGGAATAGGGACAAGACCTTTGATTTAATTGGTATAGGGAATTTTCAGGTGAGGAAATTCTATCAATATCACTTTCTCTGGACCTTGTAGTCTTAGAGCCTAAGGAACTGAGAAATTGATTTGCTTAGGGGTTACATAGCCAGTATGTATCAGAGATGAGACTGGAATCCAGGTCTTCCTGGCTTTGAAACTGTCTCTATATTTTGCCATATTGCCTTCCACTAGGTGGCTGTTTGAAAAACAAAATAAAGCAAGAAAAAAACAACAACTGCAGAATGAGGACTCAAGCCAGGGACTGGGCTTTTTTCCCCTCTTTCTCAGTATCCCTAGATCTTAGCACAATATTTCTAAATGTTTCTAAAACATAGAAAAAGTTAATAAATACTTAGTGACTGATTGATTAATCTTATCTCCCAAAAGTTTCAGTAATTTAGCCAAATTCAATTCAAATCTGAAGAGAGAACTAAAAATCTCAGGTTTCCTGTTCCCATTCCTATTTTTTTCACTGCAGTGTCCACTCGCTCCAGTAAACATTTGAAAATATTAACAGCTTATATTTTATGATAGGGGTAAGGGGAGAGGGAGCTAGATGATGCAATGGGTAGAATACTGGGCCTGGAGTAAGAAAGACCAGAGTTCAAATCTGACCTCAAACACTTACTAGCTGTGTGACCCTGGGCAAGTCCTTTAACCTCTGCCTGAATAGAACCGGAGAGGGAAATGACAAACCACTCCAGCATCTTTGCCAAAAAAAAAAACAAACCCTGGACAGTTGATCCATTGGGTCATGAATAGTTGGATATGACTGAACAACAACATTTTTCACTCAAATACAATATGATCTTTCTACAAATGAAGAAATTGAAGTTCATTGAGGTTAATTGACTTGCCCAGGGTCACCCCACTAATAAGTGTCAGAAGCAGAAACTGGAATGAGTATTTTTCTTCACAGTCAGCCCTCTTCCCACTATATCACAATCCTGTCTGTCTCTCTGCTTCAGAGCTATTACAAGTACGTCATGATCATTGCTCGTATTTATATAGTGCTTTGCATTTTACAAAATACTCTACGCTCATTATCTTATTTGATGTACATAAGAGAATATACTCTGAGACAACGAATAAAGACATTATATTCAAGTTATGCTGCTGATTGTAATGGAAACAGCAGTGGACTGTAGGTTAAGAGACTTCTAGTCCTGCCTGTCATTAGATCCCTGTATGATGTTGGGCAAATTACATCATCTGTCTCACCATCAGTTCCTCCCTGAGTTGATCAATGGAGCCAGATTAACTTGATAAGGTGCAAACATCCCCATTAATAACATCACTTTGAACCTTTATTTGGGACTTCCTATGGAAGGTGTGGATAGGCCCACTTATAAATCACTGATAAGTTTGATAATATCTCTTGGCTCCTAGTAATTGCAGACCCATTTACACCTCATTGAGGACTAATGATTAAGGCTCAGAATATTGTGTATACATCTATAATCTTCCTTCTCCTAGATACTATTCCTTTATTTTCAGTTTAAACTGGTAATATGATTCCTTCTAATAAGATATACATGGATGAGATTATAGAAAAACTTTGTAATCATGACAAATTTTTACAAATGAACCAAATTCCAGAAATGTCTTCAGTTCATGATAATGCCTTCAATGTGTGCAAGTAGTAAGTACTTCTATCTTTCAGGGTCAACAATTACCTCTGAGACATTATGTGATTCAAATTTTTAACCAATACTCTGCAATAATGCTGCTTATTGATGAAATACATTAGACTAAATCAATATCCTTAGTATTTTTCTCATGTTTTTTTAATGTCTCTCCAAACACAATAAGATCATTTCAGTAGGTCTGCAACTGTAAATAGACCATATTACTTACCACTTTCTCCATGAATGATTAAAAATAAGAAAAAGAAGAATGAAATGAGCAGAACCAAGAGAATATTATATACAGTAACAGCATTATTGTTTTAAGAACAACTTTGAGCAATGAAGTCATTTTGACTATTATAAATATCCAAATTAACCACAAAGGACCTATGAAGGAAGACACTATCTGCATCCAGAGAAAGAACTGATAAATAGAATTGTGCATAGAATGATTTTACATATATGTGTATATACACACACACACATATATATAGTTGTGTCTAATGGTACCTATTGCTAGGGTGGGGGGAACGGAAGAAAAAAGGGGGAAAAAGAAAGTTACATAATAACTTGATTACATATTTGAAAGGAATAGCAAGTTGCACATGAAAGATTTGCAGTTTCATATGCAATCGTCTTTTTTTTTCTATTCTACTATGTTATGAAAATGCTTGTTTTATTTCTTAAGTTCAAAATAAAATTTAAAAAAGAAAAAGAAATTAAAAATAAAACCCCCTTGAAACATATGCTCAAATTCATAGTGTCTTACTAGACAAATAAAGGTTATCTTATCTTCCTCTGCCATGTGTCTCTGACAGAATTCTTTGTGATGGCCTGATACAGAGAAGTAATGACAGCTCAAGAATTAATCCAGGGCATCCTAAACATATGGTAAAGATTTGGTATTATCCCTTCATAGGACTCTTGGGGGAAAAGAGGTTTTAGTTGGGTGGGCCAGGGAATACTGAGTAAGTGGTGGTACTGGAAGAGCCTTGGAATCAACTTAGATCCCAGGACAGCTTGCATGCAAGAGTCTTATGACCTCTTAGTCCAAAGAACCTAAAGCTTTGAAGCCATATGTGGCCTTCTAGGTCCTTGGGTGGGGCCTTTTGACTGAGTCTAAGTTTTACAGAACAAATCCTTTTACTCAGGGGCTTTGTTCTGTGAAGTTTGGATTCAGTCAAAGGGCCTCACTTGTGGACTAGAAGGCAACATGTAGCCTTGAGGCTGCAGGTTCCCCTGTCTTAGTCATATTACCACAGATAATCTTGATACAAGATGATGAATTGTTGACTATGCTGGAAGCATCATCTGTGTTCTAGCCTTAATGTTTTGGTGCTGCTCTGGCTCATTATATCAGGAGGCTCACTGTAAATTGCAAAAATTTGGCATTACCTACCCCATGACCAGACTGCAGAGATCTGAGACTCAGGGAGAGGAGGGCAGGAAAAACCTAGGATTTCTGGCTTTTGTTCTTTTCATTTTTGTTCTTTTCTTCCTTTTATTTTCTTCATGATAACTTATTTAAGGAACCTGCTACATATGTATTTTTTTCTTTTCCTCCTTAGTATTGCCAATCCAAGGGGGTTGTCCAGCAAAATCTCCAAAACATCTACATGGTGGAAGGTCCTTTAAAAGCTCTTTAAGACCTTGACACCATAAAGTGGTATGAAATAGAATCAATATCTATCAGGGTTTTCCTCTCCTTGAGGAAACATGGATTAGGGTAGTTTCTCCCAAAAGGTGACAAAGTGATCTCCAGGACTGGATTGGGCACTATACCAACCCTCATGCAGCTTCCTGGTTGCCTCTGGCTATGTTAACAGGGATTCCTGGTCATTTAAGGGCATAACAAGGCTCACCCACCAGTCCAGGTTCTTCCACTTGGTAGGCACCCTGAGGCTGTTTGAAGAGCCGTATAACTTTGCTGTCAACGGGTTCCTTAAGGAAGGGAAAGCAGAAGGCTGTGTTGCCTACCTGAGCATTTATTTTCTCTCTTTTCCTTATCCTCCCAAAAGAAAAAAAAATCTTCAAATCAAATATGCATAGTTAAACAAATTCCCACATTAGCCATGTCCAAAAATATGTGTTTTATTTTGTACTGTGAGTCTATCACCTTTCTATCAGGACATGGGTAGCACTCTTCATTAACTTAAGAGAAAGAATGAAAAAAGTGGGAAAGAAGGTGGCATATCAGTATCAGATCTAAAAATATATGACAAAGCAATAATCATCAAAATGATTTGGTACTGGTTAAAAAATAAAAAGGTCGATCAGTGGAATAGATTAGGTACACAACATTCAATAGTAGCCTAGTGTTCAATAAACCCAAAGGCTCCAGCTGTTGGCAAAGAATTCATTATCTAATATAAACTACTGGGAAAACTGGAAAGCAGTCTGGTGGAAATGAGGTTTAAACCAAAACTTCATACAATATAACAAGTAGCAAGTCAAGTCAAGAAGCATTTATTAAACACTTATTAAATGCCAGGCACAGTGGTAAGCACTGGGGATCCAAACAAAGGCAAAAAGTAATCCCTGTTCTCAAGGAGCTCACAGACTATTGGGGGAGACAAGGCAAACAAATATGTACAAAAAGGATACATACAAGATAAAATGGAGATAAACTTTCCATAGAGGGAAGACACTGAGATTAAGGGGGAC